CAGTCACCCAGTATCTGCCAGGGGTCTGGCACCGTGCCTGCACGGTGGGAGGTACACAGAGGGGTGAGATCTGACCCTTGCCAGCCTGCTGGCAACGCATTTTTCAGTGAATGCTTCTTGAACTTACTCCTGTCTCTGAGACACTGTTCTCACTCTTGCAGGAGTAGCTCTCTGAGTCCTGCTCTGACTTCTCTGGGAAGGGAGGGAGGCAGTCCCAGCTCTCAGGGCTGAGTGTATTCCCAGGATCTCCTCCTGGCCAAGGTAGGATGAGTACAGGGTTGGAGGGGAGCCCCTCTGGCTGTATGGAGGAGCTTTGCCTCATCTCCCTTGGCAGGGTCAGCGGGTCATAGCACAGAGTGAGCACAGATTGGGACACGGGAGCTGGGACATATTGGATGGGAAAGTCAGCCTGACTCTGCGGGCCCCTGGTTCCTTCCACCCCAGGGACCCTTCTCCCCACTCTCAGGTGGCTCCCACAGCCTGATGCCCAGACCCCTGGGGAGTGTTGCCCTCCCTCACCCTCTTACCCTGTGCCCTGATTTCCAGCCAGGGGCTGTTTCTGGACCTGGCCACCCTCAGGGGCCACCTCACACCAGCAGAGCCCAAAGTCTCCCTCCTTGACCCCTGGGATGCAGAGCTCTGGATGGAGGCCCCTGCCCTGCAAGGAGAAGGAGAAGAGGAGCCAGGAGGCGGACCACTGGGGGTGCGGCTTGTGCTGACATCTGTGGGTCACCAGGTCCTGTCACAGGCTCAGCATGGGAATGGCCCAGGGCTCTGAAGGGCAGGCCTGCCTGGACGTCCTCTACTCCCTTTCCTTGCTTTCCTCCTTTCCTCCTTCTTCTTCCCTTTCCCTCCTTTCCCCTTTCCCTCCATCGTCTTCTCACCAGACTTTTCCCACCCTGCCCGTGTCTCCTTTCACTCCTCACCCCCCAACCCCTCCTGCCATGTGTGTGTTCCTTGAGGCTCATCCCAGCCATCATTCCTCCTGACTCAACCCCCTCCGGCCCTAGGTGGGTGTCTTATCCTCCAGTGACCTCAGTGTGACACTTCCTGCAGCCTTTACCTGTGACGGTAGCTGCATCCCTGCCCACCACGGGGGAGCTGGAAGGGGTGAGGAGTGTTGGAGAGGCCATGGGCCCAGCTGCCTTCCTTGTCAGGCACTGCCAGGCCCAGCCTCCATCCCTACCCTCAGCAGGGAGTGTCACCTCCCATCACAGTCAGGGAGGGGATCTGTCCTCTCTGTGCTTGTTCCTGAAATGCACATGTGCCCTGGTGTGGACAAGAGAATAGCTCCCAGGGATCCAGTGTCATGCAGCATAGTCCCAGGCAGGGCCTGTCCTAGGCTGATCTTTTCTGACAAGCCAGCCCCCCACCAGCCCCAGACAGCCCGGGAGCCAGGACTGGGGGCCTGAGAGCAATGAAGAGCAGTCAGCCAGGGATTCTGGGCAAGCCCAGCGGGGCGCCTTTGTCTGGATCTCCCGGATCCTTGTGCCCACTCCCCTCTCCCTAGAAATGACTACTGCTCACAGGGTTACTGAACAGCCGGCCTTGCCTACCTGATGCCAGATGTTGCTTTGAATTCCCTTCCCCAGCATCACAGAGCATGCCCCTGGATGTCAAGATGTTTCTATGTCACAATTGTTTCCTACTTGACAGAAAGCTCTGTGAAGGTCAGTGAGGCAGGATGGGCAGGGGGGCAGGGGTAGCTGAGGGAAAAGAAGACTGACTGCCAGACAAAGGTGCCTGCTTCTCTGAACACGAAAGGGAAGCAGGAAGGCCCAGCTCTGCTGAGCTGAGAATCCATGAGCTCCAGAACCACACTGAGAGGAGAAGGCAGAAAAAGGGTGCAGGCCCAGAGCTGAGATTCGAGCCCCAGGACAACACTTAGCCTTCAACTGGTGGAGTCCCAGGGTCCTCCTCCTCGTGGGTACTGGCCAAGACTCCTGAGGAAGGGGCCTAGTTGATGCCACTCACTCTGCCGATCTTCCTGGGACCCAACAGCACTGTTCTGATCTTGTCCTTTACATTTGGGCCCCGAGATGCATGGGGTCACAAGAGACTTGGGCAAAACTTACTGGCTTTCCCAACACAGGGAATTGCAATAGAATAAAGTGATATAATTATGTCAAGCAGCAAAAATGTTTCTGACAGGGAGGCCTTCCTAGCAATGGAAGCTTATATCCGTGCAATTAGCCAACCATCCCAAAACACAGCCATCCATCCACCCAGACACCAAGCTACCAACCATCTAACTACTGAGCCAGCCAGCCAGCCACCCAATTGTCTGACTATCTAACCAGCCAGCCACTCGGCCAGACAACTTTTATGGTTGACCTACTCCCTACAATCAATCCTCTTCCCTCATTTCAAAGGTTGCCTGCCTTCTCTGGGTCCCATGTCAAAAGTATTCCTCCCAAGTCACAGTGCCCCACTGTATTATTATCACTGCACTTATCACTATTTTAATTTATCTTATTTATGAAATTGCCTACATGTTATCACCTGTCTCTGTCTGTCTAGTGTATAAAACTCCATGGAAGCAGGGGCTGTGCCTATCCGACTCACTGCATCATTTCCGATGCCTGGGAACATGGTTTGTGCTCAGCAGGCATCTGTTGGACACGTGCATACACACTTCCCTTTGTATACAGTGGTGTGAAGTGGGGAACAAAAGTAGAAGATACAGGACTAGATTCGTGCACTAACGTGCTTGGAGTTCCTGGCTCCCACACCTATGTGAGAGCCCATACGGCAAGGGCAGACCTGATTGCTGGGGTCCAATCTGTCCACAGAGCTCTGGGGCATAGAGTGTGGAAGTGATATCATTGAGAAGGAAGGTGTCCTGAAAGACATGTCACTGAAGGATGTGAGATGTAGTCAGGAAGCGTGGGTGAGTGACAGACGACAGGCAAGCTGGAGGCATCACACGCCAGGCTTGCACCTTGTGTGCATGGCATCCATGCGTTTGAAGAGAATAGATGGCCTGGGAAGAGAGGCCACACCACAGAGCAATAGCAGATATGATGAGATAGCTACAAATAGCCCAATGTTTGGAGGACAATAAATAGAAGGATTTGGTTAAGTATGAAGCAGGGACAGTATTCTGGACTCTGGGGCAGGGGTGAAACGATGGGCGGTGGGAGGGCTGAGTGCGGTCAGTCCAACCAATTCTCACTTGTTGGCTTGTGTCCTTCCTTGCTGACCTGCCCGAGGTGCTCTGCAGGACACTGAGAAATGCGACAAAGGCCTTGGGAGAGTGGTGAGCAGGTGTTCGGCTCGGTCACCTGCTTCCTCTGCTCTCCACACTGCTCTGGACGCAGATGGAGCCTTGCAGCACAATTCTCTACTCTGCTCAGGGTCACCCCGGTCACAAGCTCTCAAATGTGTGCAGAACCATAAAGTCTCTGTCTCATCATTCCCATCTCCCTCTGCCCAGCCCCATCTCTGCACTTGGTGCAGAGAAAAGCACGCAGGACTCGAAATCAGATGACCGGGACTGGACTCACACACCTGCCTCTCTCTGTGTGACCTTGGACAAGTTGTCCAAGCTTCAAGAGCCTTCAATTCCTTCTCCTGTTGGATTATATAATGGGAAAGATAACAGTCACTTTTTTTCTTAGAGAAGTCGTAAAGGTTATGTTTCCCACTGCCTGGGAAAGTGGCTACTGCATTAACTGACAGCAGAAGGAAGGCCTAACCCCTGAGTGCTGGGGGCCCTGCTCTGTAGTTCCGTCTTCCTCCATCCCTTCCCCACTGAAAAAACAACCATGCAGCTACAGAAGGGTTAAGCAAACAGGGCAGGCACTGCAGATGAGCTCGCATCCCCAGACCCTGATATCTGGCTGCCAGAGGTACTGTGAGACCCTGGAGCTGTGACTGCAGAATTGCCTTCTGTGATCAAGATGGCAGCCAACTGGGCACACAGAGTGGGTGACAACGCAGTTCCTGTACAGGGGAACCAGGGACCTAAGCCATAGGCTGGGAGGGGGGGAGGTGTTGATGGTGTGAGGAGGTGTCACACTAAGCTGCACAACAGAGTCCCGCATAATGGAGGCAGCAGACACCCGAACTTGCACCAGTCAGGCTGCTGGGGTGTGTGGGGGCGGGGGAAGAGTGCTCCCTGCACTCTCTATAATAAAGTACAATGAGATGTGGCAGGTCAGAATGGGGACAGGATCCACAAACTGTTTCCTGCTGAGTTGCTGAGGGTCTGGGAGATATTTATCTGGGGGGAGAATCGGCAGAATTAGAACACAATAGTGGTCTTTGAACCACTAGAGAGACTTGTCCTGAGTTACTTCATAGGACAGAAATGACAGGGAGCAGCAGGCAGAGTCCAGCCCAGCAGGGCGGGGTCAGAACTGCTCTCTGCTGTGGTGAGCATGTCGCTTCATTAAGCTGTGGTGGCCATGGGGCTGGGAGGGCTGTGTGCAGCACGATGGCACCAGCCATGGACACTGCGTGAGCACATGGAGAGGTCCCAGGGGTGGGAGGGAAGTCGGCTTACATTCAGCTCAGAGAACATTAGGGCTCATCTTCCAAACTTTAAATACAGAGTGTTCAACCAGGTGCCAGCATGTTCAATGTCAGGGCTGCTAGCCTCCTGGGCCCCTGATAACCACCAAGTACTGCAACCACACCCTGACGGGCATTTTCAGTGAATTATTATTTTCCAGTCTTGCCTGATTAGAATCCAGCAACTTCCATAGTAGCTGTAGTGTGGTGAGAAGGACAAAGCCTGGGGTTTCACGTGGCGCCGCCCTGGGTTTGCATCTCTGCTTTGCTCTCGTTAGCGGGGTGATTCCAGGCAAGGTTCTTAGCCTTTCTGAAACACAGTTGCCTCAGCAGTTTAATAAAGATAAAACATGCTTGCCCTAATAAAGCTCGGGAGGTTAGATGAGACGTGCTCACTGAGGAACAGGAACTCTGTGATTTTCTCCCCTTCCTTCTGTCCACACGCAGTGGGAGACAGCAGCTCCTCACTTAACTGTCTCCACACACCCAGCAGTGGGGACTGTGTCCTAGGCTGTTTTTCTAGAATTCCCGAGCATCAAGTGTGTGTGACCCAAACAGATGGTGTCACGTCCCCTGTTATGCTGTGCACCAGTCAGCTGGCCATTGACTCCCTGTCCTCTGCCTTTGCCATCTGCCATCCAGGTCCTGGGATCCAAGCAGGGACATTCTTGGACTATATTTAGACAAGTCCAAGGCCTGTTCCTTTTATAAGGTAGTGCAATTTGCCCTTGAGACCTTTTCATCTGGAGCATATCCAAGCAGCAGCCCATCCTGTCCCTGCTGGAGTATGAGCATTGGACCTTTAACTTGTCCCCATGGCCATTCACAAACATGCTGAAAAGCTCAGTGATGGCGGAGAAGGAAGAACTCGGAGCGCCAGAGGCATATTCCTCACAGGGACAAATTCCCATGAAGTCTGCCCGGAAAGAGATTATATTTAAGTGAAAACAAACAACAAACATGCATTTGGGACCAAGATTAAAACAAAAACTTAGAAACTGTAAAGGGAAATAAAATATAGGCACAAATTGTTCCTTTGAGGTATAAGGAAGTGATCCTGGCTGAGACTCAGCTGGCTCCGAGGAACACAGTGGCCGTCCCCACACAATCCTCTGCCCTCAGACTGTCTCCTTCAGTCACTGCATGAGTAGCTGGTAGGGGGACGTGGAGGGAGGGAGACATGGGTCAGAGAGTGAGTTTGGTTTTTCAAGCCAGCCCTAAGGACCAGTCAGATTCATGACCACGGTCCTCCGCCGACCGAAAAAGGATGTATGTAGAAGAGGAACAGTCACTTTGAAAGGGACTTTGCATACTTCAAACATAAGCCTTTCGATCAGGTGACAAGCCTGTCATGGTTAACTGGTCCTAGGAAAATGCTGAGGCTCTCTAAAAGTAAGTCGCCCTGTAAAATCTCACCTCCCATCACAGAACAGAATGCGGGGAGCTGCTTTCCTACCCTTTCCTGATCTGCCCTGGTGCCCCGGCAGCCTCCTTTCTTTCTACAACTTCACTTTCCTTTTGAGACAGCACCAATGAGGCTTTTGAGCTGATTTCACAGGGTGAAAA